GAACGTTGCACGTAAGAACCCGAAGACGATGGTTACGAAGTTCACTTGGCCATCGAAATTAGTCATACTGATATTTAAATACACTGATTTTTAACATTTATTCAAAGTCAGAGTAACGCAAGAGACTTGAACGGGTAGAAGTGAGTAGTGTCTAACATTAGTTAACCAAGAACCAAAACATTTTTAAGCGATCATGCTTTTAAGCGTCCATAAGTAATTAACCTAACCAATTTATTAACTTATATAATTACTTATTCTTACGACTTGATTGTATATCATAGACGATTGCTCATCATATGAGATAGATACAGCTGCAATATATTCTACTTTAAATAGCAAAATTAAACAATAGGCATTTTCAAGCATCGTTCATAGGGAAAACTGGGATATTTCAGACGGTGGACGTACAAAAGGTTTATTTAATTTACATTCAACTGGGCATCATCTTTAATACATTTCCTAGTTGTAAGCTCTTTAAATGGTTTTCATACATTAAGAGAATTTTTATAAGACAAAAGTTTCTGAGTAAACAGTGAATTCAGACGGTTGATTTTCAAGTTTATTATACCATTTAGCTTCCGAACTTCAATAGAGCTTTTCTCCTTACGTATTCTTTCTTTTTCTCTTGATAATAGTTTTGGTTGCGGGGACGTACGTTGATCAAAATAGTTTCATTAAGACAATATTCATGCAAGAAGAATGTATCTGTACTAATCCAAATGTTTTGACGGCATCTTAGGGTCAGACAGTCTATTAGGTCGTTTAGAAACTTGAAACACTTAAAATTAGATCGACACCAGTTCATACTTACAAATGTAGCTACTAGGTCATAGTCGTGCAAGTCAACAGGTCAGGATTCTTCGATTTGATTATATCACAATCACGATGCATGTTTAGACGTAGTAGAAATTGAAGACAGTCGTCAGTTGGAGGTTAGCAGTTCACGAATCGACATCTGATTGATGTTCATTCTTTTTTTAATGCATATTACCAGCCACTGTGATGTATCGGATTGTACTTTTATGCACCTTGTAAAGCGATAAATCGTAAACATTTTTATATCAGAACCCGAACAGGTTACAAAATTAATAGACAAAATAACAGTTTTAGAACAAACAAGAAAAGGTTGATTGTTGAAATATTTTGATGCAGTTAAAACAGACAGCCCAGAAATTTAAGCCGGTCGGCGTTCAATGCTGTAAGATAATAAGGAATGTATTTCAGTTGAAACTTAGAAAATATAGTACGAAGCCATGATCATGAGGCATAATTATTGACAAGTTCAATGATATTTCAAAAGCGAACAATTTGTTCCGGATCATAACAATTCAAAGCAGCACAGATGAGCAGCAAAATGGTATCTTTGACTCATAAAATATCGTGCTTACATGCATAATACAAATTGTAAAAGTAGATATAATTTTATGAGAGATTACGGTGCATGAATTTTGTAACTTGTTCAATAACCAATGAAATCAAGATCGAATTTTTAGAGCCTATTTATTTTTTCGATAATTTTATACCTAATTGGTTTACATAATTTAAGAGTGCATTCCAGCTTGATTCTCTTTCAAATAATGAAAACTGTTGGATTATTGAATACATTAAATTTATGCTTTTGTGTAAATGTCGGTTTTAAATAAATTGTGGTGCTTTGCTAAAAACTGCTGCAAATTCACTTGACAAATATTACGTGGTCAGACCACAAGTATGTGTAAAATGTTCCCATCTCAGTTTACGAATTTTTATTCAAAAGCATTCTAGTAGGAAATTGAACTAGCTGAATTTTATTTTGCTATGATATCACATTAAATCAAGTGCTGTGAGACCGTTGTAACTGTTATTGCATAAAAATAATATTATTAGTCTTAAATCATTTTGATGAAGGATACCATACTGGTCCAGCTAGATTCACCAAACTTTTTCCAGCCAATCACTGTTCAAGGGCATACAGATCTTCTCTAAGGAATGTTTCTCAACCATATACAATTTCGACCATTTGTTTTACTAATACAAAGAATTGTTTGCTACTTAGAATATTTTTTTTTGAAAATTGTTTGATATTAAATCGTTGTAAAGAAAATTCTTTACAAAAATATCATTACAAAGTAAATATTACTGTGGTGATCTCTTCAACATAGTTCAAAAGTTCGTTTGTGTTTTTCGCTAAATGCTAAATAGAAAATCGTTCAAATTATTCAATCGAAACATTTGAAGTTGATATTATTCATAGAGTTTATTTCAAATGGATCGCTGGAATTTTAGTGACTATACTATTAGCAATAACAAAAATATTCATATATTTAGGTGAGTGTTTATATTTATTTGATATATTTTTGCGTATTTTGCATAGGTTACATGAAACAACTTGTTGTATGGCATTTAGATAACAGAACAAGTGAATCATCATTAAAATATGCCAATAAACTTAGCAATGTGGAGTTAACTTTACGAACAGTAGTATAATACTTATAAAAATGCAAATGGAGATAATGTAAACACAACCATCCGATATGACAGGAAGGAAATATTATTATTATTATCATATTAATCGAGTACTTGATGAAGGGAGAGAGCAACAGAACAACACTAATATTGAATCAAAAATATGGAAAACTTAACTGAAGAAATCTAGGTATTTAATAAGATAATATTGAACTTTTTACGGTGTTGCCTACACCTCAATCTAAACAGGCTAAACAATGTTGGAGAGCAATAGCCAGTTTACCAAGTATTCATAGACGCAGTCAAAATGAACCGTAAATTAATTGGCTTATCCTAAGCTAATGCTACACTGAAAATATGTAAACAATCAGCCTAATTTCTTAAATCAATTATTATTATATTTAAAACTCGTGTAAATAAAAGTTCGCTACAAATTTAATACGTGTTCTTTCTTCAATATCCTAGAAAAAAATGATCTTGATCAACTAATAATTAAGTGTAGGTTTAACACTCACTAACTAGGTATTCTCTTAACCATAGATTAAATACAGTATATTTATCCAGACAGTCTAAAGTTAATATCTGTTATTAATTTTCTTCATCTTCTTAAATAAGGTATGCGTATTTTAAATCGTTTGATCAGTTTTCTAATTTTCCTGTTTTATTTTCTTTGATGGAACGTTTTTTTTGAATGGCAGCATTCGTAAATGACTCAGTGAGTTAATGTAGTTAAGCTATCGTCTGTACGTACCGCCGTTACAACCCCTAAATTTGTGGAAATCTTTAGTGACTTCGTCTTGGACTTTCAAGATAAGCTATCATGAATCTATAAACAGTGGTATTTAGAGATGAAAAGTTATAGTTCTCAGTCTTTAAAACGGTTTCTGTCAAGATATGAATTGAGTTGAGCAGTGAAATAATTGTAAAAGTAACTAGAGTGTGATAAACTCAAGCATATTAAGTATGATTTACTCCACTGATAAACTCCAACTTTTCAGGTGTTTCCTAGTTATCTTTGGATAGTCTGAAAGCAGAACAACAACGATGATGAGATAGCAGTCTAATGCCTTCTGAATTTCCATGTCTATGTATCTAATAAAAGTATTTGACTAAATCCCGTTAGCTGAATAATCTCTTTGACACACCATACTAGCGACGAAATGATTATTTATCTAATGTACATGTATAATGTAGGTGAGGGGAATTATTTTTAAAAATCAAACTGATTAGGTTAGAATAAAGATAAATTAGTTTCTCAGACAAGTGTTTTCAAACCATAGGAAGAAATAAAGTGTGTAATATGAGAAACAAACGACAATAATAATGAAATTGCTGAACAGCCATTTACATAGACTGGAATATTCCTGCACAGAGCTTAAAACTTGAGCAGCGGATATTAAAATTGCTGGGACTAAGCAAAATACTAGAAGATTAGTTGGATCCTAATTTAGTAGTTACATTTAAAGTCTTGAAACCAATGAGTTTGACTGACTTCCTTTTTGAGCAATCTAACTTTCAGTTGGATGAAATATTCATTTGTGTTTCAAAGGGTAAAAAAAATAGCAAAATATGATTAGTTCAGTATTAATGAATATCATCTCAAATGGTTAATATTTAGAAATGAACTAGGTAATATCAACATCAATCAAAATGCATTGCGTCATTTGAAGATAGGAATTTGATATTTTCAATGTTCACTTGGTCTAAAAGTGTTTTTTCAAGTTCTTTTATATAAACGAAGATGATGATTGTTGCATTATGGATAAATTGTTAGTTAAGAAAAAAAAAGAATTCTTCCAAATGCTATCTATATCATAAAAAATTCTGATTGACTTCGGGTAGAATTCAGATAATAGACTGCTGTAATATTAGGAATGTAAAATTTATTTTCTTTGCCTAAAGTTTAAAAATAATTTACCTATTTAATAATTCATTTTGCAACCAGACCTAATCAAACATGCAAATTGTACAATGTTAATTAGTGATTTAAGACAAAAAAAGAAAATCTTACTGATTATCCTTACAATTGATCGAACAATACTGTTTTGTTTCACTCTACAACCAGTTTTATAAAACAAACTTATTAACTTTTCAAATTGGATTGAGAATTGAAAACCACAACTTCGTAAACTGGTTTTCTCAGAAGTTAGAATAAACGTACACGATATAATTTTATAGGCTAATTATATTCATCAAATAAAATAAAACATCTACAATAGGAGTATTTGATTGTTCTTTGTCATGCAAACTACCTCATTATCCTGTAACGTGTTAATATGAAACATATTATTATTGTGTGTACTTGTTATTTTAAAACGTTTAAAATACAACATGTGTCCAGTGTTTTTATTGATTTTTGTTAACCTAATGTATTCAAGATAGAGATGATTGTATCAAATCAAGAGTAGTGAATATTTTGACCGTTAACCATAATGGATCGTAGCAAATCTTCCATTTATGATCTGAGTGAAAGTGTTGATTAAAAATTATTATTGAAAAATAATATATGGCTTTTGTTAGTGTCATATTTATTATGCAGCTAAGGTTCTTTGTGAATCAAGTATAGTATTATGTATTTTCGTATTTTATTATACCAGAGGAAAAAAAAGTAGTGAATAAAATAAATTTGGAAAAAAAAATTTTGTTTTTCGTTAAATATATGCATATTTGTACAATGATATGGATTAGAGTAATATAGAGATGGATATGATATACACTAATCAATAACTTCTACTATCCAATATATGTATAATTAAAAATACCTGAGTTTCCTCTGGATCTTTTCGTAAGAATAAACATAATGAATGAAAAGTAATAGTGTTCTAATGTACTGATTAAAAATGATGAGTTTAATAGACAATGAAAGAAAGAAAGAAAAACAAAAAATAAACGGTAGAGTAAAGTAAAAATAAGTTACTATTCACCTTTAGTTAGTTTTGGGTCACAGCTAGGTTCGTCAAGATATGAACTTATATTTAGATTGATTGAATTATTATCATTTGTTTCATCAGAGATTAGATTTGTTGAACTAGTCTTAGACTTTTCATCAGCTACACTATGATCAGGTTGTGAATATATTTGAGCAGGATTAGATTCAGGTGATGAAGATTTAGTAAAGTGATTTTTGGAAGATTTATGAAATCCAATTTTCGATGACCAATTTCCTTCTTTGAATGAACTCCTTTTCTGTAAACGCTTTTGAAATTCATCAGTTTTTAGTTCATCCATAACACGATTTATATTAGCAGCACTTCGTCTATGATGAAAATGCAACACTGATAAATAACTTTTATGGCTAGTATCGTTTTGTTTACTCAGTGTATTTGGATATTGATTGAACGTGATCAGTGGTATGTTAGCAGCAATTTTTGACTCAACTGGAGCAATTGTGATTGCTGCTGTCTCAGTGACTGCTTTAGCTATGCGAAATTCTCGTGTTGAACTATGAACGCTTGCTAGTTTAGGAGAATTTTCAGATGCATCCAGAGGCTTACTAGATTTGATTTCAGGAGAAGATTGGTTGTTACTTTCAAGGTTGAGTATGTTAGTATCGGCAGAGTATGCAGTTGGAGATGCTCCACTGGTTCGTTCAATAACCATCCGGTGAGCCAGTTCTGCCGCAAGGACTCTATGTTTGGCAGTTTCAAGATTTTTCAATGTCCTACGACGTCTAACCTGCCTGCGCTCAGGAGTTTGTCTTGCTCCAGTCAAGTGTTCCTGAAGATTTTTGTCAAATGTCTTGCTATCGATAGTCACTGCGTTAAGCTCCTCGTTCTTATTTGAGTAGTGACAAGAAGGTAATATTACTAAAGAATACCTACGATTCGCTAAACAAGTGTAACTGTTTCGTGCTGAAGTTAAATGCTCCTCATTTTTCGGTGTAATTGCTGCAGTGGTGTCTGACAGATAAATTTCAGTAGGCTTATTTGGTTTGGGTAATTCTTCCTCATCATTATGTACTGACACATTACTGTCACATTGGAGATCATCTTGATTGAAAACTTCTGTATGTGTTTGTAGGCTGGACAATTGTTTACTTGCTGATAAATAATGTTCATCATCGCAAACTGAGTTACCCATCGCGATGTTTTCATCATAATCACTTCTATTTACTTGCAATTTATTATGAACATGGTGGTTTTGACCCAGTGAGACTGTTTTACTATTATTCTCAGTTTCATCTGTTAAATCAAATGTTCGCCAGGGTTTTGTTTTTGAAAAAACTGCTAGTTTTCTATTTTGCCTGTCATCATTTTCAATGGTGATTTGAACTTCGCTGGTGGGTTTGAGAGATGTCTTAGTTTGTTCATAGTCACATAGAGAATCGGTTGATCGAACAAGAATATCAGTAAATGGATCGACTTGGTGACGCCACATTTCTTCAAATCGATGTGTCTGTCAAAACAGTAAGAAAAACTTGATGAAACACAAAGTCAAAAAGATTTAGTATTAAACTAATTCACAAAATTTTATTATACACAGGTATTTGTATAGTTCTGGCATTTATTTGTTTAAAAAAATGATCAATCACATAAAAGTAATTTTTAGAGTTCGGAAAGCAACCAAAACATTTGTGAAAAAAAACTAATTAAATACACCACTGCTCTATTTATAGTACTCTTACGACTATGTAATATTTTAACAAATCAAACCAATTCGACTGTCATTTTTCAGTCGATAAAAATATTCTAACAAGTCCAGATGTTTTAGATGGGACTAAGTATAGTTAAATGCAACGGTGAAATGAAAAAGAGTGGTTAGATTTTCATGGCGAATTATTTCTGCCAACTATTGGATATTTTTTAGTCGTTTTCGATTAATCAAAGATTAATAATCTCCAAATTTGTTAACATATGTTTGGATGCATCGAAAAGTGCTTGGAATAGAATATGATTTATTGATAATTTAGACTTTGTTAAAAAGATAAAATGATAAAAAATAACAGTATACATAAATAGGATAATCAGAAAACACTACAGACAGTCTGAATCACTCTACACTGTCTAGTAATACGCCACATGAGATTATCTATCCTTTTCTAAATGTTCATTAAAAGTATAATGTCGATCATTTCCAAGCACTAATCTGTGGGTTAGGTGCCGTATGTAAGACCTCAGTTATCCCGAGGGATTTCGTGTTGGTTATTTGATGTCTGATGACTAACAGTAGAATCTAGGTCGAGCGTTTCGTCCTACTATGGACACGTCAGGTGGATAGACCTGCATTTTAGAGTTAAGATTCAATCCGTTCTCTCCAAACGAGATCATGTTATTCACTTAGATACTGAGTTTTGATATAGAATCGCTTAGTCTAGTGGGTTGGAGTTTAATTCATTCCGTCTAAACTAATAATGTTTGTGACCAAATGGTAATCTTGAAGGAATCCGAACAGGATGCATAAATACCAAAGGGACTGATCGATTGCAGTCCTAAGGATCAATAGGAAGATCCAAACAACCAATACAGATGCATATTCACATTTGTCTACTGTGAATAAACCCTCGGATTAAAAAAGGTACTAGAGTGAAAGTTGGGAATTAAAAATGTAATCTTGAGTGAAAATCGCATTCTTATTTACAGCATACATTCACCTAGTGAATGGAAAAAAATGCCTAAAAATGATTGGGATTGTACTTTTATCGACAAAAAGTGAGAAAATAATGTGCTAAACTTTACAAACATAAATCATACCACTGTCTCCATCGGCTATCGGATTTTTCGTAAACATTAATTTAGTTAGTTTCAATAAATAAAAAGAAATAGAAGTCAGAAAACAAGTATTATTCTAAATTACCAAAATGATTGATTACACTGAGATTATGTTTATTATTTGTAAATAAATCGTAATAATAATTCTATATGTAACTGTAATTTACCTCATCTTCATATAATTTGTTGAAACATTGTGATAAGCACACTGTACAATGATATCGATAAAACAAACTGATTGGCATTGTGACAACAAATAATATCCAACCATATGTGCCACGATTTGTTTCCAGCATAAATAGGATGTCGGCATTTTTAAGCTGTAAAAATATTATAACCAAATTATGTGAACAGTTTAATAAAATTACTAGAAAGCTAAAAAAATATCCATCCATATCATACATAATTCAAGGTACCCACAAAATAACTGTGTTTACGAGTTCTTTTGAAATGAAATATTAACATGTTGATATCATTATATACTTTCATAAACAATATAGTCATATAATCTGTATATTAATAGAGCATGCAAAACTACAAAATCTTATTGTGAGACAGTATTTATGACGGACTAATAACTTGATAGGTTACTTCACAAAATATATAACGGGTGTTTGTCAGTTATTTTCATCTTAAATATTAAAGTGCAGACATCATTGACACTGGATAATTTTTACACAATAAAAGGGGTTAAATGACACTGCAGAATAGTAATCATTTGGTTTGATCTTATTGGTTGATTGGCGGGATAAATTTGGTCGAATTCAATTTGTTTAGCATAATATGGTTGAACATGAACCCAAGCTGGTTTATCCATTGTAGTTATCAAAGAAAGAAATGTATAGTAACTTTACGAAATTCATTTTATGTCTTGTATAAAATCTTCATTAGGCTTTCCAGATACTGAAGTTATTTATTTAAGTTTTTAGTGAAGCTATCATGTGTTAAAGAAAACGAAGCGATCATAGGATAAAATTTCAGAATTGGATAGGTGACATTTGTCTCATTAAAAACGAGAGATAGGTTACAAAAACTCATCTATCCTCAGTTTCTTTGTCATAATAAAAGTAATTATGATGGAAGCATTTAAAACTTCCTGTGTGTGGAAGATATTATTGACCTGAACTTCAGATGTCCATGTACGGCTCGTATCTTAATAGGAAACTTACATCACTTTAGACAGTGGCCATCAGGTCGTATATAGTGCATCAGTAGACCTTGTATTACTTAAGGATTGAACAACAATCGTTTAGAATGGGGTATCACAAATTGTTTGAAAGTCACATGATCTCGGCGGCTAAAGTTCTTATGGATGCATCGATTATAAATATGTAACATGAAATGGCTAATAGCTATAGTATACTCTAATTTAAAGAAGTATCAAAATCAGTAGTACTTGGTGTGACAAAGGCTAAATCTTTGCTTAATTTAATGTGGTCGCCGCTGTAAATGATTTCAACCTTTTGGATACAGTATGCTGCGGTTTATAGGGCCTAATGGAAAAGAGTTGGATTTGTTTCGCAGTCTTGAAGTTATTTTATCTAGCAGTTATCTTCCATCTTGTTATTTTATCTCTTCATAATGAATATGACCTTGTGTGAAATCTCGAAACAATACAATCTACAAAGAGACACTTAGGTTACCTTAGTTTGAAAGCTAACAGTATCTTTCATTCACCAGATTGACTTAAATATTATTTTTACCTATTGTTAAAGTTTATTTGACGTACAAATGCATAGAAAAATTGATGCTTATACATCAAAATTTGTGAAATAAAATACTTCTCATTGTAAAACGCAAAGTTCTTGAGTTTTTGTAAAGGGATCTACTAAATATCCTTTATACTTCGGCTTACAAAATCGACCTAGTCACTATTACTCCGTGATTAAAATCCCATTCTTAATTTAATATACAAATAAGTAACGTTAAACCAGAATAAATTAGGTCAGCATTGAGCTGATCAAGAATATTTCCTCCTATAAAAAGAATAGTCTTAGTCACCTACTGATGACCTGAATAATCGATACATTTTTTAAGGGCTTTTCAAGTATACTCAAATGGTACTTGTTCATAGTGAGGGTTTAAAATTATTTGTTTTGACAACGACTTTCGCTCTTGGAATAACTAACGTAGTTTAAAGAATTGTTGTAAAATATACTAAAACCAAGGTGAAATATCAATTTGTAACATTTTTAGTACTGATACCTATTAGAAAAATGAGTTAAGGACAATTTTAACCAAGATGAAACCTAATACTGAAGCTTGTCGTGACCATTAGTTCTACGGAATTCAGTAAACTGTTAGTGAATTCTCTTTGATTATCATTCAGGGTTTTAAGGAATGTTGTTTCAGTTACTGGGTTTCACTTGGACTTCTGCTATAAATCTATGTAGTAAATAAGTAATGCTGTGCGTGACTATCAACATGTGATTATGAATGCCGACATGCTACACCGAGTGGTAAGTGTATTAACAGGTTACGTCCTATACAATACTCTTCATTAAATATTGAGAAATATTCAATGATTACTTCATAGGTCTTGGATAAATGACCACCAGTTTATCAAGGTCATTTGATTATCTCAGCCATTTTAATGTTGACTTGAAAAAATGTTCTGTTATGATCGGTAATATTTTCCTTGATAAACGGTTCGACAATATAGTTGTATATTCCTAGCAACATATGTACTAATAATTATATGGTGATCAATCTTACTGTCGCTAGTAAGACTACTAGTCATGAAAATGTTGCTGAATGGTCCTTTCAGAGAAAACTAGAGAGTTCAGTGATTTAAGTGTTGGCGGGGATTGTGTTCTAGACTTATGTGAACGAGATCTATAGGCTGAGCAATAGAATATATGAATATATCTGAAATAAGTATTACTGTATTATCAAAGACTTAAACAGTAAATTATTCATTTACTTTGATCAAATAGTGAATGTAAAAAATATTTATTGAATAAGGTAAGAAGATAATGGTTTTTAGTTGTTTAATTAGATTGCTACTTTGAATATTCAAGGACCATCTTAAACTAGAATGATTCAGCGGCAGCCAGTGAGAGCGATATTAAATTTATCATTTTGTAAAAATGTAAAAGCTCACCGAGAATAAAACTTGATTTCAGTAGTATTGGATTTTATCATCCAAAAAACTAGTTACGATTTCGCTCAAATACGACATTCTGTTCTAGTATTTCCAAATGATTGACATTTTTATCTTAAACGAGATACTACTAATCAGCAAAAACTAGATTTCGCTTGATAAACTAGGATTGTATAGAAATGAGAATAAGTTTTCCGTCTTGAAAGAACTAACAATAAGAAATGAGTAAAATATGTATGCATAAATATCTGTACTTTTCATTGTTGCCCTGCTAATATTAAATTTCGTGCATCAATGATATATTCATAGGTGCATAAATTATAAATCATAATTTTTACTTGTTCTATACGAAAGTACTTGCCTGAAAACTCTTTTGAATCCACAAGGCTAAATTTATTCCCAACAATGCAACAATTGATTGCCTTCCAGGCTTGACAATTTGTTGTTCGATTCGATCGCTACATCGATAAAAACTGTCCTGCACAAAGTATGTTTGCAAAACCATTTGAATAAATTCAAATGCATTCACCAAACAACGGCCAATCAATAGATGTTTTTCACTACCACTCTAAAATGAAGATGAACAAATATATACTACATAAAAGCAAATGAATTATCTGATTTACTAACGAAAAGTTGAAATTTGACATTAGGAAGACATCTTTTAAAATGAAAATAAATCATACAGATCAATAACCGAAAATTAATTCTTTGTATGATTGTTAATTAATGCTAAACTAGCTTCTATGTTTGATGGAATAATTTTGATTAGACATAAAAATATGATGTATCCAAATTACACATGTTTTCATTTAACCAGAAGTGCTAAAACATAAAATATGTTTGAGTTTTCTGGTTAGATAATAAGTTATATTCTTAAATACTAAAAGAGTCTACTAAAAAGGCGTCAAGTGTCCACAACTTATAAGCTTGTGTTTCATACTAAATTCCATGAATGAGGTTATTTTCGTAGGAAATCAATAGAACATTAAAAGCAGTAGCTTTCATGAGATAAATTTTTGAATTTATGATATTTCACACAGAACAATAGACAAAATATCATCATTTATTTATTATTCTTTAAATAAAATGTGAAAGATGGATAAACTTTATAAAATCTTAGATTTTTTATAACTATATTATGTACAAATTTGTTGATCAAGAACATCATAACATTGATCTTCATGTTTACAATCAGACAGTAAGATCATGTCTCTAGGATAATCGTAATAATTAGTAGTCTGACAACATTCTTGTCCTTTTATAATTCATATTTCAACACAAACTGAAAACTCTTTAAATTATCATGCTATCTGACTAAGGTGAGAATAAAGTGAGAATTGATGTAGATCCTGTATCTTTTGCTTCAACATTGGTTTAATAAAAAACGACTTTTTAGCGTCAGTTCTAAATATCCTCCGCATGTCAGAGAAATTCATTTCAAAACAACCTAGAAGATTAATAATAATTATAATAATAATAATTCATTACACTTTAAGAGCAATCAAATTCCTTGACGGTCAGTTAGAAAGCGGGCTGGAATAAAAACAAGTACAATTAAGTTATTGTGATCAAAACAATACTTGGTCCGCATTTTCTAGACTAATTAAGCTTAGTAAGAAACAATAATTATTTAGAGTTGACTGAATTTTGACTTGTACGAATTTGTTTGTTAATTAATGTGTGAACAGATTGAAAAGAAAAACAAATTTGATTAGCACACCGATTGTTGTAAACAGCCAATTAGTTAACATATCATAAGACATAAAGTACAAATAGTTACAAACCTGTAAAAAAAAGTGTTCCTTATTATTCATCCCAATTGAATCAAGTTATCTCATTAATTTTTATTTTTCAGAGAAACCATTTGTTATGGATTTTAGTTAATTAGAATGTTAGATAAAGTTTACAAATATTAATTATTATAACATATTTCATTTTAGAAATATTACAATCAAACAATTATTTGCAATTAGATTAGTTATATTTTGATTTATCAACAAATATTATTTCAAAGATAAGTACTTTATCAATGCTACAAATGGGGAATTTTTTGTATTCTGAAGTAATTCAACAAAATGAGTAGGTCAATGTGTCATTTTCATCGATACGCTTCATGAAATCCTGTTACTCAGTAAATGTGCGTACCGCTGTCAAAAAAGAACATAGAATGAATTCATGAAGAAAATATTTACATCTCATTGCTTTGGTGGTTTTATAATATTCAAAATATTTTCTATCCATTTAGCTTGCTAGCTCATTGTTTTCTAATAAACTTCTTAAAACTAACAATTTAATGGTCAAGTTGCAAAGCCTTTTAACTGTGATTTTGACGTTCATGGTTGAATTGTTCGGGTTATTTTCTGCTGTAACATTCACCAGACTAATGATTATCGTATATTTGCTAAGTCAAAACTAGTAACTTTTTATTCTAAATTATACATATGAAATATAAATTTTCTCTTCAGCTGGTTAGAAAAAACTAATGATAAGTCTGAAAAATCACTGTTCTTTTATTGTCAATGGTGTGGTATAAATTCATTGGGTCTCTTCATAAATCAGATATTTCGAACACTTGAAAAACAAAATGGGAAATTATTTGTTAAAAGTGAAAGAGCAGTTTTAACTTCTTGTACATATTGTTGATATTCCGCTCTAGAACCTTATACACTCGCGAAAACTAATAAACAACGGGCAAAGACTACTGTTTTTTCAACCATCAAATGTTCAGATTGATTGATTAAGTTGACAAATTCAAGTTTTTTAATGTTGAGATGCATCAGGCTGTGCATAAATGACGATTATAATAAGTGGTAATGCAAGGAACAAATGTTTGGTGACAGGCTAGTTTATTAAACCCTATAGAGGTTTTAATATATCATTATAAACCAAGTGTTCCACCGGAGCTAATTTCAAGCAAAAGAAATTTGCCTTATAATATTGTATCTTACCGATTCTTGGTATTTGAATATTTTATTCAAATGTTGATCAGTAGTACTACGGTTACTGCGAAACTTCGTTTCTTCCACTGCTGTTTTCTATAAGCTAGACAGGAATTTAATAGCTGAATAACATAGTCCTAGTTTAGGTTCCCTAAGAAGTGTAAAGCTTTGTAGAAATACCATGAAGCCGATCATCTCACTTGTACATAACTTTATTTTTGTGATTTAGTTACAGATCTACTTTTAAGACGAACAATCTCATTTAGTACAAATCTGTTACTATTTGGTTTCTTTTCTTTTTGTAAATAGGAAATTCAAAATTAATAATGGGAGTTTACTACCAATGTTTATTATAATGCAAATAATTTTTATTGAGAATAAAAAATCACTTGTCTTTCATATTTAAACGAAGCAACTACTAATTCCACAATGATTACGTGGTTATTGATGAATGTTTTGTTTAAAATCTCCATTTATTTCCAAGAATGTGATCATAGGTAAAAAGATTTGAATAGAGAGAGAGTATATTGATTAAAGAATAATAGAACAGAATAAAATAAATAATTTTTTAACTGGGAAACGATATTATTACGTGTAACAACTATGTTAGTAACTTTTTTTTAAAATAATGGACAATTCTGTATAACAACTCAGAAAACAACAGTGAAAAAGATAATTTTCAATGAAATGTGAAAACTTTAGGCTGTTACTATGCCTCAGAATCTTATGACAGAATAATATTAAATAAAAACCGGTTATTCTGTGGTTATGAAGTACAATAATCAAATGTTTCTGTAAAAACTTTGTCGTTTCAATAATGAAATTGATAATCAGAATTTTTTTTTATAACCTTTCTCCAATCACTGATGAATTTAGTCAATGTGGTTTGTTCAACTTCTAAATAAATATTTGATAATGATTAATTATTTTCATGAGAACGAATTTTCAAAAAGAAACATAACAAATGAACTTACAACCAGATTCTTTAATACAATAGCAAAAATGTGTAAAGAAGACTAAAAACTTAGCAGAACAACAAGAAGAAATACAACATACCGTGTTAGATATGCTATTTCCTTTTGCTTCTAAATCAGCAGCTAATATAATTGTTGTTATGGTGTAATTTGCAGCAAAAAAGAAAGCAGTGTATAATAGGAATTCATCAACACGACTTTGTCTTGTAGCAATACTAAATTTTAAACGTCTTGTTTGATAAAAAGCCATTATTACAAAGAATATTCCAAAAAGGCTTAATACAGCTTCTTCAGCTAAAACAACAATACATTTCCATAGATTTTGTTTTAAATTAATATGATTCGGTGCAGAGACTGTTAATGTTGTTAATGCAATAATTATAAGTACTGTAATTATACCAAACCATGCTCCAGAACTTGTACTCCAACCTCGGCAATCTCGAAGTACTTTATGATCCTAGTAAAATAAGGAAAATGAATATTTGAATTTGACAGAGAAGTTGTGAGAAACTTAACACTGATAAAAATTTGTGTAGTTAAGGGTCTAAACTTAACAGTTCTACATTCCTAGAATTTTATCATTCCCGATAAACAAAGAGGAAAAAATGTAACAGATTTGCTTGTTAGCCTACACACATACTGCTGGTAGGCAAGCCCATGGTGAATAATTGTTTAGCACCCGTCAATAACCTGAGTAATGCTGACTAACATTACATAAATATTGTTTTAGACATTGCAAACTGTATTTAAATATACTCAAACCAGTTTCACATCTCAGAGTTAAATTGTCAAACAGTTTATGAGTCAATCTATTCTTTAACTGTGTGTCTCAATCATCGTAGCAGTACTTAATAGTAAACCTAATAACCACCAGCGGTAATTAATACTTCGACTTTTCCAAGACTAGGAATTAGAATGTGCCTATAAGAGTTAGCTTAGGTTATAAGGGTACTGTTACGCATGCACGTAAACACACCATTTGATATGCTTGAACCATTACAAGTTTACCTTAGTTAGTAAAGGAGCGCGAGGATCGAGGATCCAGCGACACGACAGGCTACTATAATCCGAGTGTCCCAAACCTCCAATGAGTAAAAGAAGAATACTTGATACGAAGTAGAACATGTACTCTTCAAGCATCCAGAAAGTACGAGGTCCAAGTCCAGAAGAGAGTCAGGATCCCGGACAAGGGACCGGGTCCGGTTCCGGGTCATAAAACGTTACAGATAATGAGTAATTATACAGTTTCGTCCAATACGAAACATTTAAGTCTGTGACATTGACAGTTAGGACAACCATAATATTGACCAGTAGGAACTGACCGACAGAATTAGACTTAGAGAACTGATTCTCTTAGGATATTGGATCAATATCCTAACAGGTACTCAATTTAAACTGTTGTCAGCCTGATGTTACTTTGCTGAAATTCACTAGTTTCCTATTGTGGAATCCTATCCGACTAGTATACCATAACATTTCACCTGTTTTATTCATTGGTATCATCGGCATTTGTAGTTAAATAGGCTTACTATGGGCCATATGATCCAAGCTCTAATCACTTTGAATCAGTTAAGCCTTCATACTGATACTTTGCTTGTGAATGTTAAAATTCCGTGAAAATTCTTAATGGGAAATGATTATTTTTGACATGTATAAAAATAGTTTGATCATAATTTAGCTATCATATAAACATTCCTTTCAACTGACATTTCATAAAAAACAAAAGTTAAAATTGCTCTTTCTCCTTATTGTAGATATTTATAGCTTTTCATTAACTTCAATTAAAAATACAATCACTGGACTTACGCTGTGAAAAAATGTAAACAAAACTAACGAGGTTATGTAGTCGTTTATGATTTTAGTTGTAACTTATTGCGAAAAGAATAAAACTATACAAATCTGAACTTGGTTTGTTTCATTTTCATCAGCTAGATATTACATTGTGGAACACAAATGCTTACGAAATGTTACACTGTTCAATCCAAGTTTACTGAAATCAGTTCTTTTTACAATTAGTATGTTTATTCGTCAATATAGGTTGACTGTTGTGCTCATTGTAGTACGTTCGTAAAACAAGGTGTCTCTTAGTACATACGAAAAACTTAAAAATAATCATTTACTAAAGATATACATGTTTTTCAAAATTTAACATCATCCAACACCAAATTCTGTCAACTCAAAGAATTCAACTTGATTATATCTGTGAATTCACAAACCAATCTAAATTAGACAACTTTTAAAAGTCTGGAGGCATTGAATGACCGTTTTTTCTTTTTATGGGACTACTCAACGAGTGATACTTTTACATCGTTGGTTCAACGTTTAGTTGTCTGGAGATCAAGCATTCGAGCGCTAGACTGGAATCTTGAGTTCAATTCTTACGTGCAGAATGGTGGATACGCACTGTCGAGTTGTGCCATGTTATGACGAAACGACTATCCAGTGATTTCAGGTTTTCTACTAGTATCCAGTAAATTGTTTCGTCATTCTAGTGAAGTTAAACAATCTCCACAAACTTTTATTAACACTATTATTCTTAACATATTTTGAGATTGCTCAATTTCACTGAATATTTTGTTTACAAATTCGAAAACATTACTAGTAAAATACATTTTCATAAATAAATCAATAGCTTCATGAGTTATATGTTGTTTGACAGTTTGTACTGGAAAAATATGCCTGTGGCAAATACTTATGCTTGATTTCCATATTGATCTGAATAAATTTTTACGAATATATTTTTTTAATTTGTATGAATAAGATTAAACCATACTATAGTTGTTTTCTTTTTTCAGTTACTAGCACTCAATTTTATATTCAATGACGATAAAATGATTTCAAGCATAAAAAACATTAATGAACAAAATTACCTGGAAATGAGCATATTTGAGAATGTTGTGAATGTTATTTGTAAATAGGCATGAAAAAATAAGGAATCAGTGTTTTAGAAATATCTCAACTCTTTGTTTTAAAGACTGAACTTTGCTTCTATATTATCACAGAATGTGATTGTTCATAGTGAGTTGTTGTAATTTTGTTATCTATGTTTATAATCCTATCATTCTCTCTAGTCAATATCTCCTACTTGATATTTGGTTACCTCTTCATACGTTAGCTAACCATAAAAGAGCATATCATATTATCTGCCCGATGACCTGAATGCTAAGCTTCCAGAAATTCAATACATCTGTTCGTCTTGTACCTGATTAAGATTCAATAAAAATTTGGAAGATTTATTCTAATTTCAAAGCAGTATTTTAGATTTTAAGAAGAATTTACTGAATAAGTTTGCTGATGCTTATTCAATACACTTTGAATAAACAGAAATGTATTACTTTATTGAACAACTTTACAGTATGGGCTATTATGTGGTGGATGCTCATTGCTTAGAAAGTATATATCATGAATGCAGTTAAATTATATGAATACTGAAAACTAGGCTACAGCTTGGTTGTCTATATGTGGGAATTCATAGCATCATACGCCCATCACTCATAGAGAGACTAAGCCTAAAGCCTTCAATCTTTCTGGTGACTAAGTTAACTTCAGAGAATTGTGTGTTTATTCGATATTTCCCATTTCAGATTTTATACAATATGTGACAGAATGAAATACTAATTATATGTATCACATCCCACTGATTACAACTTCTTACCAAAGCGATCACCTGTGAACATTATATTCTGAATAATATTCTAAATATGAACATCTAAAATATAATTTATACCTATGGTGATATATTACATACTGGATTGTTTTATTCTTAAAAATTCGATACAAACTCCACGAAACCAAACAAAGGTTATGGCGTAGTGCTCATGGATAAAAATGACAAATGGGTGAGGTCAATCAGGGTTAGACATTAACACCGTTGAATGCTGGCCCAGTGGTCCAGAGGTTAGGCAACCCAAACCAAAGGTCCTGGGTTCGAATCGTGGGGATGAGTCCCATACCAGGACAAAACGACCGTCCAGTGCTTCCAGGTTTCTAATGGTGGTCTAACAATGATTGAGTGATGATTTCAATATGTAAAAACACTAATCTCCGTAACTCTAATTAAAAATGACTATTTAAACAGAATGAAAACCTTTTTAAACGACACGAGTAAAATCCGGAAACGGATAATTAAGAATGATGTAGCAATCAGAATCGTAAAACACGTGATGGACTAACTTAAATAAGTAAACAATGTTTAATCTTAAAAAATGGTTCAAAATGTTGAGACCTACAAGAATGACAACATAAAGACTATGTGGTCTTCCAAAAATACCTAAAACTGGCTTTCCTTTTCAACCTGAATTAGATTTGAATAAACCATCTCATCATACTGTAGAAAAATATTTACTGTTAATTCTGAAACCGTAGCACTAAGAAATTGTTGAGATCAGTGTCAAAGACTCCCTCGGACCTGTTGGCGAAGTACAGAGTATTTTAGTCGAAACTAAGTTCATGAAATCACTAGATGTATGGTCTTTATTTACTAACAATCTTCTGCTGAAAACTTTGGATTCCGTTTACAGCCAACTAGTAGAGAGACGTAAAAAAACCCTTATTCCAATATATGCAATCAGACAGTTATTCCGTAAACGCACAGTAAAAATCCACTTTCGATTCATCATTGAACACTATAGGCAATGGGATAGTATAGCCACGGCATCACTATCGGGCCCTCGCCTGGTATATTTTTTTCTTGCGAAATTGGAAAATGAACCTCTTTAAAGCATATGCAGTCACCTGACATGTAACTGTCATTATATGGATGATACTTTAATAGCGGTATAAACCATACAGGAGAATGATAATTTACAGGAAAATATTTAGAAGCAATCATCAATCTACTAGTTTTACACTAGAGAAAGAACAGAGTAATAGGATATTTTTTCGAGAAGCCCAGCTAACAAGGAGAAAATACAGAACATTAAAAAGAGGGATACTTAGAAAATATGCATTTGGACCATGTATTAATTTCTAGAGTTCTATGAGAGAAATATTGTAATCATTGTTGCAGAATGACTTTCTCAGACGACACCATTGATGATATCTTCACTCTAGTTATTAGGAGTAGATACCCAACTAAACACACGAACAAACATATGAATGAAACAAAAAGAAAATCAGAGTTCATTATCGTTCCGAAGAAATCACTCTTAAAATTGCAATGCTTATATGACAGGGTCAAAAAACGCAATTCATGAAACATTCACTGCGGCCCAACTAGATGTAGTTATGGACAATCCCTCGATAATGAAAACCACTAATAAAACAGACTACTTGAATTCACATTACTGTGTATTTACTGATTTAACTTTTCTTTTGTAACCGGTAATGTCGTGCGTACTCATGAAAAGTCCTTCATTATGTAGAAGAATACCATAATCTTGGTTGAGCAAAGGAAAGGAGTTTTACGCTCATTCATTCAGTGACAACACAAGACATCAAGTTGACTTGAATAAAGCTTTTTAACTTATCTACAATATTCCATTACATTTACCACATGGATTACGAGTTCAGCTTTTGTAGATTACTGAAGCCATCAGAATTGATGCTCACAAATTGATTCCACTGCTAGCGACCTATCATATTTGTTCATAATTTTCTGATTTCTTTAACTTTTGCACCTCTACAAACTATCATCATCCATCCCTAGATTCTGACATAATCTTTCATCGAAAAATATTGTTAATTCTTTCTTAAGAATTGTGCAATGCAGAAACTATGCAGTTGAATTTTTTCGAGTAATTACTTTGATTACTTTATTTTTAAGTTAATCTATCCAAGTTTGCCGTACTACTACTATTCATTCTGTCGACCTATACTTTTACCTACTATGTGTAGTTATGGAATGTGATCATCGATTCGAAAATTGGCCTGATTGGCCAAATATTTTCGTATAAATATTCGTGTAAATATTCGAGTAAAGCCTTTTGACAATCTAACTGCAAAACAATATTGCACACTTATCTGTGTTGAATATAATCATCCATCTGCATCCAGTTGTTCAATACTATTTTATATTTAATGAAGCATTATATAATTATTAGGTTAGATAACTACTCAATTGCATTGTTATAGATCATTTACATTGAAGAGCCAACATGAAATCTGATTGAAGAGAAATTTCCCTCCTTTTTTCGTTCTTTTTACTTAAAATCTACGACTTAAACAATCAACACTGTTTCCTCCAATCTTTTCGTTGTACTCAAGTTGAAAAGTTTTTTTTTATTATTTCCCTTGTCTGTAAATAATAAAAATATTGTTGATGCTAAAAAGTTGTTAAACAGAATCAAGAGAGTAACAACATTACATTACATTGAAGATTGTAAGTTTAGAAAAAATTCGTTTACTACTATTTTTAAAGACTTACTTTTTTTAAATCATGTGGTCGTTCTATTTCAATAAATGTTGGTTGACCAATTCTCATTATAATTTCATATAATAATGCTGCAGCCAATAAACAATATTCACTAACAGTTGGTAGAAGATAAAAAGAAATATCAACTAAATTATAAAAATGTGTTCGATTATGCATTTCATTTCCAGTGACTGATTTTAAATAATCATTATGAAATTCATTTCCATGTTCATGAGTATAATTGAATACATATTCACTAGTTTTTTTCTGATTGCCATACCACAGAGTTTTATCAATTTTTCCAACAGATATATCAGCCCATATACATAAATTTGTAGTGAGTAAGTGAACAAGACACGCACCCATAACTTCATTGTACTGTAGGATTACTAGCTATAAAGCAAAAAAAAATGAATATTATAGATTAACTGAGATTTATTCAATTTGATGTTATTTTTTTTTATTTCCTACAATAATAAACAGATAACTGATATAAACTAACTAAATAGTCAGTCAGATGCAACGTAGAACTTCGTACGTAAGTACATCAGTTCATGTTGCCATAGCACATTAACACAGAGATATAATTGTTAATTCAAATCTAATAGTAGTAGAGGTAGTAAAGGTATCAGAAGTAATCGAAGAGGTTAGGATTAGAAGATACTATTCAAGAAGTATGATTCAGTGAGATAGGTTTAAAAAGACAAAAGTAGCGTAACTGAAAAATCCAGAAGATTAGGATTTGAGAAAGCTAACTAAAAAAAGTCAGTGATAGTTCATTTAAATAATTTGTCGGAAACAATTTATTAACGAATGCAGCTTATTTATTAGAACTGTAAACCGATCACCACTAAATCAACATTGAAAACCTGAAACCACTGAACGACCATTTTATCCTACCATAGGACTCCTCAGCAATGCAAATCCACGATCCCGAACTCGGGAGATAAAACCTTCCGGATCTCGCTCGAATGCTAAACTTTGAGATCACCACATGGGTATTCAATCCTAGAGTGTTAATTTCCATGTACTTACGGGTTCAACTGTGTAAGGCAGTTACCCACGGGATGGTAATCATGTAATGTAGTGTATTATAATCATCTTTGTTGTTTTGGCTACCAGGTGAAGTAGTTTAAAAAAATTTAAAATATAATTAGTGAAAGATATACTTTCAAACGAAATGCTTCCAGGTTTCTAATGGTGGTCTAACAATGATGATTGATTAATGATTTCAAATGTGTAAAAACTCAAACCTCCAAAAACTGTGCCCCAATGCTTATCTCGTTTAAATTACGGCATACATATTTTGTTCGCCACTTAGTCGATAAACGCGAACGAGTCCAGGTAGTCTACCTTGAATCCCAAACTAAAGTAAGAAGGTTTTGTAAGCGTAGAAAGTATATTCTAGAAACATCTACAAGCATCATAAAGAATTGTGTTGTTTTGCAGACTATTATCAGTTTTGTTCAATTTCATGTACAGTGAAACAAACAAACACATAGAAACAAACTTTAACGTACATACCCTGTGATATCTGAGTATAAATAATGTTTGAAATGCATAAAATGCCATTTCCAATATGGATTTCAAGTACAAATTGAATACAGCATCAGTGATTTCGGCTTCTTCAACACATTTAACAGCAACGTGACCTATACTCATTAAACCAAACACTGAGAAAATAAGAAAGAATTATAACTGATTATAAGCCTCCTTGTTTGATCATATTATCTCCTTATTCAACAAAATTATACTGGTGAATTCTAAAAAATACTTTGGAATAGTCTAAAACCGCATCTAAAAGTATATTATGACACCTTTGAAGGTTTTCTCATGCTGGAAACTCGAATAAATTACGGTTAGTCAAGACAACATGGGTTTTTTCAAGCATCGTGTCGCAAATTAGAGTATCGATGTAATAAATTAGACAATAACATTTAATATTGGACAAATAAGCGATTAATGTGACGTGTTTTATGTACATAAACTTTTCAGTCAGATGAACGTTTGCTAGTTAAGGTACTCGTTATGAACTGAAAGATGTACCTTCCTGTTTTCGAAAATCAGTATTGAATGAATTATTACTGCCTGTCAAATAAAAGCCTTAAGGGTGTCAATCAAAAATAGGGTTGTCATTCCTATTAATAAGCGGTGGTTATTTTAAGGTTGGTTGAATACTAAATTCTAGTCTTGGTGAGAATTTCAACACACATAGGTGATAAGTTGCATTCATCTCTTACCATTATTTCTCTTGTAACAAGCTACTGAATAGAAACTAACTTAAGTCAAAAATCAATCTGGTTATTATTCTAACTTATTAGTTAATATAGATGAATCGTTTGAAAATCCTAATTACTGATGCCACATCTTATAATCCTGATAAAATAACGATATTATTTTCAAAACTAAACTTACAATAAAATAGAAATAATACAAACCGATATCCATGGAAAATTTATGGTTGAATATTTCTTTTTTGCTTACTTCAAAAAGTGAGTAATGATTATTTGGGTGTATGTAAGTTTTTTTACATGTTGAACATTTTATGCATATTAATGAGCACCCAAATGACAAATAACTCACTTGTCTAGTAGATTTAATTGAGAAGTATTCAGTGTAAAGCTGTATCATATGATTTAAGCAGAAAAATATTTTTTCTTCATTTAAAGAAATTACTGTTATTTTCCCCACTTTAGCATAAAAATTAACCTTATAATGTCAGAAAATGTTTCAGAAGAATGAGAAGAATTTTACAAAGTACAATTATTGGACATTAACATCAAAGGATAATCCTGAATAAACTTTAGAAAAAATCAAGATAAAATCTTCTCTACAATGTTGGTGATCATCGTGAACTTACTTAATAATGTCGATGATAACTAACAAGTAATACATTTGAAAAGTGAGTCCTAACCAATGGACTGTACTGTTTTCTGAAGATGAAGCATATCATTAGTACTAAAACATTACATTTCAAATTTATTAAGTTAGAAATGGATTTCGTACATAATTTAATAGCACTACAAATTTTGTTAACTGGTTTTTGAAATTTCATGCCAAAAAACACTCGAACCTGAAAAACATACTGATAACAAGCCTGGATACACTTTGGAAAATTGTGATATAAATTAAAAGATAAAAATATTCCATTCTTTCTGATTACCATTTGTGATGAATAAAACTAATAGTTATGTTTTAATTATCAAAAGTTTGGTCACAGTATTGGTCATAACAAAAATCACTTACTTGCTAAACCAAGCCGTAAATATAAATTAACTTTTTCCCCTTTGACTGAGAATTTAACGCTAAATGGAACTGGTCCATTTCCTCGGTATACCGCTTCAAATGTCTCCTGTCGATGTAACTCAAAGTAACTGGCCATTATAATTAACAATAGGCAACATGTGGCATAAAGACTGCTTGAAAACAATGGTCTACCCCATTTGGCAGTATTCGTTTGTTGATCAGCCTTTAGAAAAATGATGGAAAATATGGTAGAAATAAAAAGTGACAAACCGCAACTTAAGTGGAAATTAAGTAATTATTTCTCAATTACTATTTTGTCACGGGTAAGGAGATTATATTTTCAAACAAATAAAAGCAATAAGTTGCATTGACAGAAGTTCCATGGCAACTATTCATTCTCTAAATGTCTAGAAGAAGAATGTTCTAAATGTCTCAGAAATGGACATTCACTGTTTGATTGGTTACATGTTTGAATATTATCTACATAACTATTAGTTGTTATAAACTCTTTGATCATTTGAACATTTATAATTACCATGCTTCAAAAGCCAATTATTTGTCGTGGTTATCAATTCGATCGATAAAGCTTATTGAATATACATCAACTGATTAGAGCTGAATTATTTAAATTCAATTTTTCCACCAAATTTTGGTCTTCATGATCAGAAAGAACATGGTGGAAATTTTTATATTCGAAGAATTTTAATGGAAAACTTACTCATAGAAGATTAATACTAAGATAATCGTTTAATACTTTCAGGTATGGTTTTTAAAGATCTTAAACCTATCTACACTGATGCTGACAAATATGGATCTATGCTGTACAGTATTTTTGTTAAAACACTACTTTATCAGGAAGATATGTGTATATCTCCAAAGCTGTGACAACTAGCAACAGTCAGAAGCAAATACTATTAGTGACTTCCATACGATTAAATCATTACTTTCTTAAACGTTAATCCATTTTGAGAGTAAGTTGATCAGCTGGTATTCGGCTGTTAACCGAACAAAAATGTGCTTTAATTTATTCAAAATATCAATAAATAATTATATCAGTATGAAAGGAGTAAATTCCTTCCTAAACAGATTATAGTAAGCTGAATTAATTCTGGTAGTAAATTTAGCTAATAAATAATTTTTTTAGCAATCTGATATACTACGTGACTTATTCGACTGATTACCAGCTGACTTTTGGATGGGTAACTGGTAGCGATGAAGTTAGTCAATTCATGAAAAAAGAGAACTTATGTTAATCTATAAATGAAAGCATACAGTTTTTCATAGTCTGGCTTTAATGAATCAAGAATTTATAATTTTCCTACAGAAACTCTTGGAGTAGTTGAACGATTCTGATTGAAACTATGAAGATAGAGTATGTACTACTTTTATATTAAATATATAAACTATGTGGCATGACAGGAGTTTTATACTTCTGAGAATCGTTTCAGCTATCATGCGTGTTTGATGAAAATTTATCGACATGTTTTCTGCGATACACTACACATATGTATCAGTAAATTTACACTCTTGGTCAATTAAAAACGAAAACATTGCATTGAACAGTCTATTTGCACACCAAATTTGAGTCCTGACTTCCAACGATCCAGCCTTCTTCCATTCCTGCTGCTGCTTCCTTTACTTCCTGTCGGTACTTGATTTACTTCTTGCTTTTGCTCCATTTGCTTTCCGTTTTCCTCTTGTGACCGTGAGAGTTTTTCTTTCACGTCCCTTCATATACTACTTATATTGTTCATATAAGTAGCACACACATAAATATATATATATATATTTATTCTGCACATGGATGTCACAATTTCATTTAGCTTCTAAGCTTATTCAAGTGAACAGTGTATGTAGCAACATTAACCACTTCGTTTTATTTCTCTAAACAATCCTAACTTTACATGCTATAATTTGAAACAATGTATTTTGCCTTCAACCAGTCGACATTTCCGATTGTAGAACCTGAAAGGAATTTATTGAGAAGAATATTCTTCGTTTACAGATTGATGTTTTCAATCATGAAAAGACTTCAAGCTGACTAATTGCGACTAGTTTCGCTGATATTCATGAAGTGAATGAAATAAAAACGAATATAAGATAAATAATGCATAGTCGTTTCAGGATCAAATAGTGCTGGAAACAATGTTTGTTTTTTTATTGCGAAAGCAGCAGTTTAAACGAGTACTGAACTGAGTTTTATTTATGTACACAAACTAGTAGCAGCTTTCAAATTATAAATCGAAACTCACTAAAGCTAACAGTTCAGAGAACAATATCAACAGTTGTTTATGTTTAAACCAGTTAATGGAAACAAATTATTTTCAATGAATAACACAAGAGTATATATTGTTATATATGATAAATTACTTAGTCTTTTATACTTCAATATTTTTTAAAAGGTGTCATTTTTCTGTAGTTTGTATGCTTTAAAATATGCACCCTTACACCTGCATTCAAATATTCAAACAAATTTTTCGATGCTTACAGTAGAACAGTAGTATTCATAACTGTTTTTTCTTATTTTACTTTTCAGATAAAATGTTTGAATTGTTTAGTTGAAATTTGGATGAGAAAAATTATGATGTTTATCATAAATTCTCTGTTGTTTTGTCAATATACTTTAGTTGCATACAAAAATCTCAAGTATCATAAAAATAACACTGAACCATTTCTTGGATAAACATGCCGTGAATAACTTCATTATCTCTTGAAAATAATAATCAGCACATACTTTTTAAATTTCCTTATTCAACTTGACTAGCTATTTCATACTAACATATTTTGCTTAGGATACATACATTTTTTCTTTTCTCTTCAGATTCACAAAAATAATTCCAACAATTTGTACGAGAGAAAATTCTTGTCCACTCACACTGAATGTAGAAAAAATCTATTGATCGTAGCAAGAACAACAAAATTTTACTGTACATTTTCATTGTTGAATTTGGTGTGCTACCAGAAGCTTTCATCATAATTCGGTATCGCCTTTTTTTTCCATGGAAAACAATCAATTTAAATCTACAGTATAGACGGTCAAATAAGTAGTGCTAGTGAAATTCGTTACTGGAAAATGTATAAACATATTTCATTATCTGCAAACGAACTATGACGAAACAAAAATCCCATTATTTAGCATTTTTCTTGATAAAACTATGTGTGAATAAAGAAAGGTTGTACAGCTTAGCTATTAAATTATATATATATATATATATATATATATATATATATATATATATGTATATATATATATATATATGACTGTCATGGAACTAATATCGACCTAGAAAATCAATCAAAAAAAAAGACGATTCCAAACAGTTTTTTGACTTTTTCTATTCGGCTACGTAACATTCAAAAATGTGAAGAATTGTTGAAGAAAGCAAATTATCAATGAAATTTGCGATTTATCCGTCCACATGATAAATGATCTAAACTAATATGATTCATTTAAAGGGGTTTAAAAAAAATAGTTTTTCATTTGATCTTTTCAAAAAACAATATAATATGATAGTGACGAATTACTATTAAGAAATGAAAACTACATACTATTAATTCATTTGAACTTGCCAAATTTCTTGTACAATTCAAAATTAATGTGAAATTATTAAAAAATATTTTTTTTGAAGACTCAAGTTAAAAAAAAACAAGTTATTTCCCAAGTTATTTAGCTTATTTTCAAAATTTATTGAAAGTGATTAATTGTTGATGATAATTGTGAACTCAGAAAAAAAAATAACGTGATTACTTTCAGCTTTAAGTTGTTTTGAAAAATTGGACAGTTGAAGTTAATAAGCTCTCAACTTTGTGATATAAGCAGGAATGCGGAATATAAAGAAACATTATTTCATAATATCATTATAAGAAACAAGTCAAGCTGTTGATTGCAAAAAAAAATACAATATTGAAAGTTTCACATTTTTCAATATAAATCAATTTCATATTTCTTCCGTTGAGTTTATTTTTTATACCATCACTTAAGCATGATTAATTGTTCATTCAAAA